TAAAATATTTTATCAGCCATGGCTCATCAACGGTTATCAAAATATCACTCTTATCTGTTACCTGGCTGTAGGTGTTTAGTGAAAAATTGGAAATTATTTAAATACAAACTATTATAGCCAATGGAATTATTAATTAAGCTAATATAATACTTGACCATTTTGTTAATGAACAGCCACAAACCCCCCAGGTGCTGCAGGACCCTCTTACCAGAGTATAAAGTCTTTTAGCCTCTAACACCAGAAAACAGCTTGAACCTGGGGGGCAGAAGATGGTTTTAATTAGAAACAAACTTCATGGAACACAGTGGCTTTAGATAAGGAGACTAGCACAAGCTCAAAGCAAAGCTGTATTGGGGGACATTGTGGTGTTATCTAACAATAATCAGGGCTTCAGAGGGAAAACTCTCGGAACCCCCGGTTACCAGGAGAATCAGATCATTAGGGATGAAGGCTGGTACTTTTGTTCTCTCTCATTAATTCTGCACGTCTTGTTTACTAGAGCACATGGTTTGGAATATGTTATAGGTTTTACAAGCATATAGCAAGTGGCTATCTTTTGTCTACTTACTAGATGTTAAAATGCAACACAGAATTAGAACAAATCACCCAAGATCAAAGTCGGTAAGTGTTAGAGCGCGATGGAAGTGGGGGCCCTAGAGCTGCAGATCTGCCCTGGCCCACATGGGAGAGAGAGGCAGAGCCACGTCTGTGACAAGATATAAAGGGTTTGAGGGTCTTCTCTTCAAGAAGGTGGTTTGGATGGCAAGGAATTGTTTGAAAATAAGAAAATCTTTTAAAACCAGACTGGTTATGATTTCTGTGGTGTTTGAATGAGAATGTCCCCCATAGGCTCCAAGTATTTGGCATTTTGTCTGTACTTAGTGGTGCTGTTTTGGGAGGTCTTAGAAGGTGTGTCCATGTTGTATGAAGCACGTCACTGGGGCGGGCTTAGAGAGTTCTTAAGCCTTGCCGGATCTCCAGTCGCTCTCTGCTTCCTGTGCCTGCGTGATAATATGAGAGCTTAGCTTCTGCTCCTACTCCAGCCACCTCTGCCTCCCTGCCTCCCCGCCATGATGGACTCTTGCTCCTTTGGAATTGTAAGCTAAATAAACTCTTCCTTTTATAAGTTCCCTTGGTCATGGTGTTTCTGTCACAGCAACAGAAAAGTAACTGATACAATTTAATTTTCAAATCATTTAATATTTACACCGGATACCACCAGTAGTGTGTTGAATCAGCTTGAGCAGGACATGAGGCTGAACACTTTGGTGACTGGTTATGCTGCTCTGGGTGAGCTAAACTATCAAGGTAAAGCCCAACTAGCTGCAGCCACTATGGAACTCCAGCTTGGCTGTTCCCAGGTAGAACCACAAACAGTGTTCTTTTCAGTTGAAGCTTCTAGAATGCCAGACCTGTTCCAAAGTCATGGCTCATGGGGTGAGCCAGTTCTGCCTGAGTAGGAGCAGACATTTCAAGCCCAGTTCCTCCATGCTTGCTGGAATTTGACCCCCAGGAGACCTGCCCCCATGGTGCCGATGGCTTTATTGATAATTTAACAAAGTTTTCCTTCGTCCTTTCTCATTCCCTGTAGGAGCTCTGTGACTAATGCCTAATCTCCCATGTGTGATAAGCCTGGGCTTTCTATTACATCTCCCACCTCCATCCTCTCTTCCCCACTGTTGAAATTGACCTTTTCTCAAGATCTAGGAAATGTTTCTCTAAGCCTGTCAGCCCATCCTGGGAAAATCCTCAAGCACAAATGGTCAGCCTTGCCAAGTATAGGGCTTCACGTGGTGGGCACTGATGTGAGAGAGACTCCCCTGGCCCCATGTCCCCATGAGAATCAGTCACAGGCTCCTGAAATCAATCACATTCACACTGAGTCCACGTCTTCCCCAGGTACCAAATCATTAAAATAACAGAAAGACAGCTGCACAGTGATAACGCAAGGGTTTCCTACTGAGCTCCAGTGGCATGTGCTCTAAGATTGTGGCAGAGTGTTCCTGTCCAGTTCCCCTGTGGCCACATGGTGCAGCAATGCCTTCTTCTTCCTCCAGTGCCATCATTCTCACCGTGAGGAGCCTCTGCTCTGCTGGCCAAACGTCTGCTTTCCTTTCGCACTGTTGTAAATGACACCGCCTTCTTGCGTTTTCAGAAAATTCCCACTGGCGTGCCCAAAGCTGTTGAATTTTCTGGGTTAATTTTCTGTCCTGCAACTTTGCTGAATTCTTTTTGTTGTTGAGCTTTTTTACATTTCATACAGCAGTTCTTAATCAAATTCAGACACCCCCTCTGCCATCTGTGCCCCCATAATGTCACCCACCCCTTCATGCCTGTTAGGTCCCATCCAGTCAAGCATTTGTTCCCAGATGTCCTCAGTTCAAGTTCATCCACTGGAGTCTAGTCAGCCTATCTAGAGATTGTTGGTAAGGTCTACTCTCCCTCACCCAGCAGCAATCAGCCTCTAATAGTTCTCAGTCTAGGGCCTGTCCACCACCCGTTTCTCTCCTCCCCTCCAGGCCCTTGTCTGATTGGGTTGGCCTGGGTCCTGCGCTCGATGCCCCCATTGCCACAAGTTCACATGTGCAAGCTTCCAGGGGCCTGAAAGCCTCTGCTTCCCTGTGTTCATGAACCAGCCCTGGCTCTTACAGTCTTTCCGTCCCCTCTTCCACATGGTCCCTGAGCTGTGGTTGGATGATGTTCAATACAGGAGTCCTATCCAGGGACACACACTCTGCAGTCTCTTATTCTGTAAAACCTGGCCGGTTGTGGCCTCTGTGTGCACCTGCTGTATGAGGAAGATTCTCTGCTGCGAGTTGGGGGAAGCACTAGTTCTCCCTCTACCCTCTGTGTTCCATGAGCCTTAAGTCTAGAAGTTCCACTGTAGATGTGTCATCTAGGATTGGGCATCTCTCAGATGTATATTCTGTGTGACCAGTTGCAGAACTCTTCAGTAACCTCCATCTTTTGCCAAAAAAGCTTCTTTGATGAGTGGTGTACTGTGTGCTTGTATATAAGGGGTTGGCTCTATACTCCTCAAACGAGGGACAACATACGTCGTTTGCTTTTCTGAGTTTGTTACTTCACTTAGTATGACAGTCTCTAATTCCATCCATTTGCATGAAATTTCCGTGATGTCATCTCTTCTTTCTGCTGAGTGAACTCCATTGTGGCTGTACATAATTTTTGGTAACACATCTCTTCATGAGAATGAGCACCTATGAGCCAAAGTGGGAGTTGAAGCCACTGTCATTTATACATGTGATGAGTTGAATTTCTCCTCTGCAGTTTGAATGTCTTTCTCTTGCCTGACGGTTCTGACTAGGATTTCTGATGCCTCATTGACTAAGATGGTGAAGTGAGCATCCCTGTCTTGTTCAGGTCTTGGGGAGCACATGTTCAGCTTTTTCCAAATTGGAATAACGTCGCTGGGTTTGCCCTCGTATGTGGCCTTCATTATGCTGAGGCTCACCCTTTCATGCCTAACTTGCTCGGTGATTTTATCATGAAGAAAGTTGACTTTTGTCCAATGTCTTTTCTATATCTTGTGATGATGAACTTGTAGCTCTCGTCCTTGTTACACTGATGTATCTGCCATTTGTATATACTGAACCACCCTTGCATCTCTGGCATCTCTTTGATCAAGTGAATAATCTCTACAGTGTGTCACATTTTCCAATACAACATACATGCTTACAAGAAATATTTGGCCAGGATTGTCAAGACTTAAATTCTAGTATTCAGTGCTATATTTAAAATCCTGATAGATGTGTTGGAGGCCATGAACTGCTATCCCAAGTGCGACCTCAGTTTCTGCTTTTATCTGTTTTCCTTAAGAGCTGTACTACAAAACTTTAAAAGTGTTTGCAATGCTCATGTTTTAAAAATGCAATCTCGTTTTTCCTCCTTAACATATCTTTTTCTATAAATATTTTATTTATTATTTTTATTTTATGTGTATGCATGTATTGCTTGCATGTAGGTGAGTGTACTTGTGTCATGCAATGCCCATGGAGGTCAGAAGAGGGGGTCGGATCCCCTGGAACTGGAGTTACGGACAGTTGTTAGCTGCCATGTGGGTGCTGGGATTCAAACCCGGGTCTTCTGCAGGAACAGTCTATGTTCTTGCCATCTCTCCAGCCCCTCCTTAACATCTTAAATGTTGTTTTTCTAACTCAGTTAATCTATGTAAGCATTTCTTAAAGATTTTTTTTTAATTTGTTGTACATGAGTGTTCTACCTGCATGTATATAAGTGCATCAAATGCATGTAGTACCTGCATGTATATAAGTGCATCAAATGCATGTAGTGCCTGCAGAGGCCAGAAGAGAGACAGGTTCCCCTGGAACTGGGGTTTCAGATGGCTGTCAGCTGCCATTTAGGTGCTGGGCACCAAACTCAGGCCCTCTGCAAGAAGAGCCAATGCTCTTACCTGCTGAGCCATCTCTCCAGCCCCCTATGTGGGTATTTTTATTGCTTTTATAAAGTCAGTTCCTCTCATTTCCTGGGATCATTCTGATATCCTGAGTGAAGTCATCTGTAATTTCTTATGAATTAATTCTGTTAAATTTTTCTAGACAGTAACACATATTATTAAATAGTTGAAGTTTATTTGAACAGTTTTGGAATTACTAGGATTTCACTTTACTGAGATGGCCTACCAATAGTAATATCTAACCCCTATGCACATGTGTTCTCAAACCTCAAGTGATTTTGGTGTAAATAAAGCATCTTTAGGGTGTTGTGAGCCCTCTTTCTCTCTCTAGGTCAAGTCACAGACCATTCCATGCCCCAGGCTCTCTGGAAGTTTGCAGAGGAGAGGAGGAAGTAGGCTGTGTGCAGGGACTGGCTTACTCCCCCTCCTTTTCCAACACACAGTCCTACTGGAGGGAGCAGCGTGGTGGTGGAAAAAGGACAGAAGATGTGATGCTCGGAGACCTGGCCATGTTTACAAGTTTGATGTATAATTATGCTTTTTCTCTCCCCCTCCTCTTTTCCAGTCAGGCATGATAAGGACAGAGGAAGCTGATTACTTCTTAAAGCCACTGCCTGCACACGTGGCAGAAAAACTGAACAGCTCTTCACAGGGCGGTTCTCCCTCCCATGTGCTGTACAAGAGATCGGCAGAGCCCCAGGCTCCCAGGGAGAAAGAAGTGCTGCTGGTCACCAGGAAGCGGGAGCTGGTGGGATCTCACCTGTACCCTGAGGGCTTCCATCTCACACTTCCACAAAAGCAGCATTTCTGTGGAAGTCGCAAGAAATGTACGTAAGGGCAATTTTGTATATTGATGATTTGGACGTTTCTGTAAGTCAATGGGACATTTTAAATTTTCTTCCAAGTATGATTCCCGAAAGTGCAGTGACCGTGGCTGCTGCCATCACGGGTGCCTGGGGCACTGCACCTCCTGTGGACCACAGAAGAATGTGGCAGACGACTTTTTAAAATCCGGTCTCTGAGCAGATTAAATTATACGCTTCTTTGAAGTACAGAACCTTCCAGATATCTTCAAAAAGCAAACAAAAACTGACATTCCTCTTGGTAATTCTATACTTTGGGGTTTAGACATATTAAGGACCACATACTTTTCCACTGAGGTAAACTATTTATATATGTATTTATGTGCTTTGCCCCACCACATCAAAGAGGCTTGTGCAAGATGGAACTTACCTGCAATTTGTCACCAAGCCTTGATGGGAGTCTTTTTGTTTCTGATCCCTTAGAGGGCCTCTGTTGTTTGCAGGGTATATAGAAAACTTATGATCCAGAAGCCACTGTTTTCTGAAGTTCCCTCTTTTCCCTAGTCCTCGGGCATTGTATAATCGGTCTTTTCCAAGGACAATGAGGTAAGCCTGGGCCCCCGCCCCAGCCTTCTCTGGCTCTGATGGCTGCATCACCTGCCTCTGTGAAGCAGAGGAGAGTCTGGTAGGTGCTCGGTGGATCTTGGTGAATAAAGGGAATAAGAATCACCAGAGCCTCAATAAAGGATTAAGTGTCACTGGACTATCCGAACCTGAATGGCATCTGAACTTGTTGCATCCTGGACTGCATTCAAAGGGACTTTGGAAACTCAAAGCCAAATGTGGGGCTTCTTGTGGGAGAGACCTGTCTTCTCGCTGGAGCTTAGTCCTAGACTGTCCCTGTTAGAGTCTGTGAGCTTGTTCCCTGTGCTTCCTGACATCTGACTGGAAAGGGGTGGCCACGGCAGGTGATTCGTTAAAGTGGGTGTTGGGTCTGGGTTTGTTGAAGGGCCTTCTTCATCTCACCTGTGGCCATCAGTTGATGTGGGGTTAACTGCCTCACATACTCCCAGGGACATGCTGAAAGCAGTTCTGAAAGGGGAACCAACTGTCTGCTCTAAGGAGCTTCTGAGAGCCCTGGCCAGCATGACACTGCCGCACGGAGCTTCTGCCTCTGTGCCCAGGACTGCCCTGCCCCATTCTGCCCTCATCTTGCACAAATTTCTCTGTCATTTGAGGTTAAGACCAAAGGATCTGAGACCATGCCCCACAGATCTAAAACCCTTTTCTAACACTTTCTAGAGTGGGCCAGGAGTTACCTGTGTTCGTTCCTTTGTCTCCGTGGTCATATCCCAGCATCACACACAGTAGCTGATGTAGAGGCTGACAAGAGAACGGCTACTGAAATGACATCACCATGTGCAGTTACAAGGACAGCAACAGTGACAAAGGCTCCTTCAGACTTAGTTATACTGATTGCTCTTCTCCAACTGGTTCATTTAGGCTTGAAAACACAGGCCGAGTTTCCTTCATGAAACGTTACATATTTTATCATATTCTGAATTGTGGAATACAGAATGAGCCATCTTGGGTTGGAACCAAAAACTTGAACAGATTATTCATTGTTTCCTACACACCCTAACACACAGCCTGAGAACCATTTTATAGTGTTTTAAGTGCACCTGGGTTTCAACTACAACCTGTCTGTCACAGAAGACAAGGTGTGGAATTCCACTGGTGACTTCATGTTTATACAGAGATAGTTTGTGATGTTAGATCACTTCTGGATTCAAATTTTTGGATTGGGAATGTTCAATCTGTACATCCTTCAAACAAACAAAAAAGAGCAACAGTTTGTGGGCAGTGAGGCCCAACCACACAGCAGCACCTGCTCACAGCCTGCTCCATGAGGAAGCCTGCAAAGCCTGGGCGTGCATGTCCTGGAGATGGGCTGTGAGCTATGCTTTCAGATGAAAAAATTCCAGCCATGTTTTTCTGGTACCTACTAAATCTAATTGGCTTTAATGGAGTGTATACTATTATAATTACCAAAAGCATTTTATTTTTTTATTTTTAATGTATATTTTGTTGAGTTGTTGTGCATTTCATATAATAGATCTGAATCAAATTTAGACTCCCTCTTCCACCCACACTCCCCCATAGCCCCCCCCACCACCACCAGATTTCATATATTCTGTCATATGTTGAGGTCTATCCATCAATCATGTGTACCCAGATGTCCCTCAGTGCAAGTTCATCCACTGGAGTCTAGTCAGCCTATCTAGAGTCACTCCCTTAAGATCTGCTGTCCCTCATCCTACAGTACAGCAGAGTGCAATGCACACAGAGTCCACAACTGGCCCAGTGTTATTAAAGCATAAGAGGCTACAGTGTGTGTCCCTGGATAGGATCCCAATCAAATTTAGATCCCCTCTATATTTAACCTCACCCACCCAGGGCTCAGGGACCATTGAAAAAGAGGGGTGGAAAGATGATAAAAGCCAGGGTTGGTGCATGAACATAAGGAAACAGAGGCTTTCAGGCCTCTGGGAACCTTCTCATATGAACTTACCAAAAGCATTTTCAAGGCATTACTCCACATGGGCAGAATGCAGTTTGCTCTCTAATTGCTCTGATTAGTTTTAAAGGAAACTTCCTCCAGTTATGCCTTTGATTTTGTGTGTTTGCTTCAGCTTGCTCTCTGCCTGTTCCGTAGACATGCCTCAGCCTCCCAAGGACGACCTCTTCATCCTGCCTGATGAGTACAAGCCTGGCTCCCCCCGGCACAGGCGCTCGCTCCTGAAATCCCATAGAAAGGAGGAGCTGAACGTAGAGACCCTGGTGGTGGTTGACAGGACGATGATGCAAAGCCATGGCCATGGGAACATCACCACCTACGTCCTCACGGTGCTCAACATGGTAGGACAGCTCTCCTTTGCATGTGTACCAGTGCATGCCTGTGTGTGTGCATGTGCGTACCTATGTGCCTCTGCACCTGTGTATGCATGTGTGTGCATGTGCATGTGTGTTCACATGTTTTTAATTTCCCACATGTGGGGAACTTTGTCTTGTGTATAAGAAACACTTTATGAGATAACTGAATTTTACTACATTCCAATCAAAAGAGGTATTTTCATAGCATCAGGGAATAGACTAGAGGAAACTTAATTTGATCATCTTTGCAACTTGGTTAACCTCTGAGGTATTTGGGTTTCACTGGTTTCTTCACGTGCTAGAAATTTCTAAGGGGATGGTGACACATTTTAAGGCAATAGTTCTATCAGATTAACATGCAATTTTAGGTGCTATTGATAATGCCTACCCTTTAGGAATTGTAATGTCAGGTGTTAAACACAAATTATTTTATCTACAGAAGCTGAGAAGCTATGTGCCCTTTTAGAACATCTCAGATAAGCCCTGTCTCTGTCTTAAAGAACACCTGTGGAAGTTGTTTGTCCATGAGAGGCTCTATCCCACTCCCTGTGTGCTAAGTCTGCATCACAGAGAGAAAAACTGGGCTCCCCAGTGTCTGAAAAGAGTTAATGGCACTACTGTAAATATGTTTTTACTTCCTACACCAGTGAACAGAGTATCCCACATGGGTCTGTCTTATTCCAGTAGCACCCCAAATATGTCACAATCCTCAGAGTAAGCTAGTTTTTCTCTCCACAGAGAAGCTCAAATGTGTATCTCCTGCCACAGAGCACCCCACATAGCTCCCTCCCAACAGAGCCCTCCATACATCTCCTCACAGAGAAGTACCCCACAAAGCTCCTCACAGAGTCCCCCACATAGCTCTCTCCTCATGGAGCTCCCCCATCTCTTTCTCCCCACAGAGCACACCATACATTTTTGGGGCTTAATCACCAAGGGACGAGGTGCTGGCCTTACCAGCAAGGCTGCGGGCCTGCCTGGGCTGCAGCATGCTGCCATTCACGGAGCTGACACGGGCTTTCTGTTCCAGGTGTCCGCTTTATTCAAGGATGGGGCAATAGGAGGGAACATCAACATCGCCGTCGTGGGGCTCATTCTGCTGGAGGAGGAGCAGGTGGTCCAGCTTCCAAGTCAGAGCTTTCTTTTTCTCTGAAAAAAAATGAGTCTGAAGTAATGTTTTTAGACTTTCTTTTAGGGGGAGAATGGGGATTTCATATTTTGCATTTAAAACAACTATCTTTAGTTCTTTCTAATGCTGTGTGTGTGTGTGTGTGTGTGTGTGTGTGTGTGTGTGTGTGTGTGTGTGTGTGTGTGTGTGTGTGTGGTCTCACAGGAGGCAGAACAGAAGAGCTGTCCTAAGGCTATGGCTGGGAAACCCACTGGTAGTACAAAGGACATGTATCTCTAGCCACCACAATCTTCCTGATAGTATGTTGGTCTGTGTTTAATTAGAAGACTAAACACATTCGCAGCTTGGAAGGTGAGGTATGCTGCGTGGCTGTCATTCCCTTACCACCCCTGCTTCCCACCATCCTCAGGCTCAGGCTCCTACTTAATGGAGATCCTAGACTGTGAGCACTTTTCTCTTACTTCACTCTGACTACAGCTTTTACTGTCTTGGGGGGAGTAGGTAGACGATTACCCCTGCCTCCCCTCGAGACCCCTGTCACCACACACAGCTGCACCCTGCATATCAGAGGAAGCACATCACCGTATTAGTAACAAGGGTCTTCATTACAAAAGAGTCCATCTCCACCTTCCGCAAGTTGCTCACTGATCAGCAAAAGAACGTAGGCTCTGGACCTGAGCTAGGCACACAGCATTCACCCTGTGACGCCTTAAGTGCCTCCTGTTCTCCACAGTGCTCTTGGTTACAAAGCAGAATGCTGTAGATAGAATCTGACATGAGTCACAGCATCTGTGGCACGCCTCTCTTCCATGCAGGTGGGGATGCAGGGGGGTAGGCTGTCTAGCCTAGTAGGCAGGGAGGACACAACCCCATTGTCTGTTGTGTAAGTGTGTGGCTGGGGAGGGTTTGCTGAACTCCAGGGCTTCTCAGGTGACAGGTTAATTATTCCCTCTATTAAAACGTTTTCACCTTGGAATTCATCCAAGCTGCAGACAATAAGAGAGGTTATCATTTGATCATACAGCTGTGTTAACTTTAATTAACACTGGCTTCCTGGAGATCTCCAGCCGAGGACTGTAGGCATGCCTGGATGCTTACATGTGGTTTGGGACTCTGGGAAAAACAACAACAAAATAAATATTTAAGGGGAAAAAATGAATTTAGTGACCAAGAGACAAATTTTCAACAGCGGCTAAAGATTTCAACAAGATACTGTCCTGAAACAGAGGTCCGTAAGCTGATAGTCTATGATTGGTCATAAAAAACTGCAATGACGCTGTGAGGATTTTCACTAACTCGGGGTACCTGTTCTCACGGGCATTCCTGCCCCCCACCCCCCGCCTCAGCCTCCTATTCCTGATCCTTCCACCCTTCTTTACTGTATCTCACTGTTGCTCTAGCAGATTTGGTGTATAAAGTTAAAGGCATCCTGTTTATCTCTTGCATTTTGTTTCTCAGCAATAAATCTTTATAAATTGACCTCTTTTGTAAACAAGTTGCTTCTGTGTAGGAAATTTACTGAATTAACACTGCAGTTATAAATGTAGAAGTAACCACTTTTTCAGTCTGGTTATGAGATGATCTCATAACTGGTGAGGCACGTTTTGGGCATGTGTACAGACCACGAATAAAGTATTCTGTGACGTGATACAGTTTTGCAAAGTGTTATTCAAAGATTTTGAACGCAAAAGATTCATACACCACGCTCAGGTGTTATCTTTCTTGGGTCAAAGGAAAAAACAAACCCAAGGGGGGGAAAAAAACCAAGAATCAATCCGATATATTCCAAATGCTTCTATACAGAAAGGCACATAAATGTCTTCTTGGAATCCATACAAGATTTACTAATGCAAAATATGGAACATTTGGGGATTTCACTGCAAAGTATGAAGCGTTTAGCTGGTTATGGCTAGTTTGGAATCTGTGTGTTCGGAATGTGTGTTAAGGAGAGCTTGCTCTGATGACAGTGGCTTATGATGATTTTTCTTTCCATTTCCATGGGTGCCTTGTCTGCTCTTGCTCAGCCGGGGCTGGTGATTAGCCACCATGCAGACCACACTTTAAGCAGCTTCTGCCAGTGGCAGTCTGGACTGATGGGGAAAGATGGAACTCGCCACGACCACGCCATCTTGCTGACGGGTCTGGACATATGTTCCTGGAAGAACGAACCCTGTGATACCTTGGGTGAGATTCTCTGGGAGGACTGTAAGGACCATGTGTGAACAGTGTCTTGTTCATTTGAGGGTAGCACAGTTGTCGTACCCATAACCAGTAGCAGCTGCTAAGTAGAGTTATAAGACTATTCCTGCTTCCCTGTATAATCTTTACCTAAGTATAAAACTTTTTTATTTATCAAATGATTGTGGAGCAAAAAAAGCCCACCCCAAATTCAAGAGTTCCTGTCACTTGTGAGGTAAGAAATCCTCTCTTCTGTGCCTTGTGTCACTGGGAACAGGACCAGGAGTCTCTCCCAAGTCTCCTTTGTGGTGGGAGTAGAGCCTTACAGGTGCTGACAGACACACTGCAGCAATGGGATCCTCTCAGTTTTACATTGCTGTGTGAGGGTCTCAACATCAGCAGCTCAGTCTAGGTCTAGATATGGGTAGAACGAGCCTATGACACACAGACCATTGTTCAAATGGTCGGAGAGTGTGCTGCTGGCCGGGACATCAGGGAGCACCTTTCTTCCTTCATTTCTTCCCAGTTCAGGAGTCAGAGTTTTTATTGTGGGAATTTCCAGGTGGGACCCAGCCTAGCAGAGGTTCGCTCTGCCCCCCAGCAAGGCCTGTTTATGAGGCAGGCCCTCACTGGCCCTTCAAGCTTCCATTTATCCACTCTGAACTGCTTGAGCACACAGGGCCTTTTACCTGCTTTCTTTCTGGGGCCATGAGTAGTTTCTACTTGTCAGGCATCAAGTGACTCCATGACCAGTTCCCAGGGGCAACTCCAGACACTGAGAACCTAAAGAGGTTTCTGGGTAGGCAGCACTGCAAGTGTGATGTCATGGCTCCTTGCTGGAGGCCATCAGCTTACCCTGTGGCCTGTCCTGGAATGGCCTCAGAAGCTCAGTCTGGCTTCTCCACACCTCACCATGTGCCTTTCCTTTATTCTTCATCTTTCTGCAATGATAAATCATAAATGTGACTACGGCAGTGCCTCTGATAAACCCGAACAGCTGAGCCAGGGGGTGACCTTGGGGACACCCCGACACACCCATTCTCTATGGATTTACTCCTGGAGCTTTAGAGAACAGGTATTTATAGGAAAAAGCATCTGCATTAAATCCCTTCTGTCTCCTGCAAACAGTGGTCCTTGCCAGGAATATCACACAGAAATGCAACCTGTTTTCCATGACACAAAGAGTCCATGGGCTCCTGGGAATACATGGACTGTGTCTCCTTCTCCATCAACACGTCACATTTACATGACTATCCAAGGGTGGCCCATCTCACATCCCCCAAATGAAGATGAGGACTGAGCTTTTACCAAAGTTAGAAAAGAAATGTAGGTTGTCGCTCTACACCAGCAATGCCGTGTACCCTGTCTACACCCCTAGGCTTTGCACCCATAAGCGGCATGTGCAGCAAGTACCGGAGCTGCACAGTAAATGAAGATTCGGGACTTGGACTGGCCTTCACCATCGCCCATGAGTCTGGACACAAGTAAGTTTGTCTCCATGGGTGGGGAACCCAAGATCCTTTTCCTGACTGGATGAGTATCCTCTGGATCCTGATGCCACACACCATGTCTATAGAGGGAAGTCATGTGGATCAGTGATCATGTCAGCTATAAAAGTCGGTCCATGGTAAACTTATGTGTTCATTTCAGCTCTTTTCCCGCAGCCTGCAGGTGCCCACACATTGCTCCCGCAGCCTGCAGGTGCCCACACATTGCTCCCACGATCGTTCATGTCTTCTTTTCACAGAGAGCCTTTGTTGGGAATAGGAGTATCCGTCCCGGTTCCCCATCCCACCTTTTCATTTGATTCTGTGGCTTCATCTCACTCTCCAGGCAGCTGCCATTGGAGGAATCCATCTGGCCAAGGAGAATACCAAGCTGCCCTGGAGTTTCTGTTCACATGCACACATCTACACACACATCAGCACACATATATAATCTGTAGAGATGCTGTTTTGGAGGTGTGGAGTTTGGGGCATGCGGGCACTGAGAAGCAGCTGGTCCCATGAAGACCTAGTTCCTGGTTCACTACCTGTGTCCGGCACTGACTCTGCCACTGCTATTGAAATAAGGCAGCATCAGCTTGTGCCGTGAGCCTGGGAACTCAGCAATCAACAAGGATGGGGCAGGGCCAGGCAGATACCTCAGGGGATGAAGGTGTTTATTGCAGAGTCTGGCTACCTGAGTTTGATCCCTGAGACCCCCATGGTAGTCAGTAGGAACTGACCTCTGTGCAGTGACCTCCACATTCATGCTATGGAATGTGTACAAACACGCACACATGTGTGCTCACACACATGCATACATATGCTCACACACACACAGGCACTATACATATACATACATGCTCACATACACACATACATTCATATACACGCACACACCCACACATACTCTCTCAAACACACCATACATTCATTCACACACACATGCACATACATATGTGCACACACATGCACATACATATTCTGTCTCACACACACATACATACTCTCACACACATGTGCACATACATATTCTCTCACACACATACTCTCACACATGCACATACATACACACACATTCATATACACACACATGCACATAAACACACACACACACACACACACACACAGATATGTTCCTTAGTTCACTAGAACCCCTCAGGGTCCCTTCAGACTTTGTCTCTGTGAACTGCTGACCCGAAAGCAAAGCTGTGCGTCCTGATACCAATTCCTTCATGACTACAGGTAATGATTGACAATTTCATTGCTTAGATAATTGCATCTACATGTTATAAGGCTTTCAGTTAAATCATAATTGTATTTTTAATAGTCTGCTGGAGTTAAAACTTCAAAAAACTTTCATTATTATAATGGCACAAGACTCTTGCTGTCCTCCGAACCATACCTGGATTTAATTAAATAATAAAGGCAAGAAAAACTCCAGTCACCAAGGGCTCAGCCCACTGGCATCTGAGAAGTAGAGATATGGGTCTTGGCCACCCCTGCAGGTGGTGAACTGAACCAAAGTTAAGTTTAATTGTTCCAAATGAGGCGCTCAGTCTCCAGCCTCAACAGAAGCAGCCTTGACATTTATTTTACTTAGGGTTAGCTATTAGTATTTCTTTTCCTCACTCAGATGATATCTGGAGGGCAAAGGCATATTCACTTGAAAGCAGGAACATAGATGAGGAGCAGACAGGATCCACATGTGTGGATGGAGGAAAATCCCCTTGCAGACAGGGTGAACCTCTAGAACTTACCAAATCCTTCTTGAAAATTTGTTCAGATGGCATTGTACAGGAGATAGGAAACAGGGAGCTCTAAAGAGGGTGACACGCATGAACGGGCCACTGTGCTGAGAAATTACGTATTTAGCATGCGCCAAATGTGACCACAGTGACGGTGAGAGCTTCGACAGGGATGACAGCCACACCTGGTAGCTTTGTTTTGTTTTTGCTGAGAACGTTTTGTAAAATTTCTGGAGCGATTTCTCATTGGCTCCAACTGTAGAAACCAAGAGCTGTCCTTTCCTTTGCCCTCCCCAAGGGAGGGGGAAGCGGTGAGCACTGAACCCACATGTGAAGCAGGAGCAGGCAAGTGGCTCGAGGCCCGAGCCAGACAGCAGGAGGAGTCAGGTGTGAGCACCTGACAAGTCAGGTTTGACAGCTCCCAGTGAGGAAGGCTAAAGCACATGTCTCTACTAGAACTGCATAGATTTTACTTAAATGAATGTGATAAACACATTTATGCAGTCTGCTTATTCTTTGGGGACTATATTTGCAGAAGAAATATATGTGTGCAGTTCTGGGACACCAACACTATCTTTGGCAAAGCATCCAAGGTGAGGCAGATTTTTATGTTCTGTAAACTGCAACTTTAATAATTAAGAAGTGATTGTCTTTCATTGATTAATGGTTTTATTAGCAAAAGACCAAAAAAAATCATCTTCTAAGGTGGATTTTACTACTTCCGTGGGTGGGGTGTGCTCTCCTCTATCTAGGAGTCAGAAATTTCCTAACCCTCAACTCAAAGAAAAATCTCAATTAAGGCACACCTCATTGGTCTACTCGATTTGGAAGTCCTTTCTGCTTCTGTGCATGGTGTGAATGGAACCTGGAACCGGGATTGTTGGGGAGCTGGAAGTTCAAGAAGTCTTTTGGTTATTCTAAATCATTTGACACAGAACATGCAAACAGACTGCACGTGTCAAAGAACCGGCAGAGACATTCAAAGGTTCAACTATACAATCTGAAGACCATGTCACCTGGGCATGGAGCTCTTGGAACAAAATGAGAACTCAGGTTGTCAGTCTGGTGGCACTCTGAAACATCTTGTGGAGCCTGAAACTGCCCACTGAGCTGCATGCTGCTCACTTGAAAAACAGAGAGAGTACTGTGAATTCTACTGCACGTGTGTGCAAGTGGTCCTGGAGCAGTACTATTTGAAATGCACATTGCTATTCTATGAAGTTGTCTTAAGTAGTTAATGTTTATTATCATCATGATCATCAGACCATGAAAATATTATCAACGGATTTTTATTGTGCTGAGAATTGCCTCTGCCCATCACCCTCTCTCTTGTGTTCCCTTGAACATGCTCACGAGTCATTGGGTACAATGTGCATTCTTCTAGCAAAGCTTTGTATAGGATACCATTAAAATACTGGTGAGACATGACTTTTAGTAACCCAAGACAGAAGACAAAACAGACATGTCACATGGAAGATCAAATCATGAGGGCAGTAGGCATTGGAAGATGCCAGCCAGTGACCATCCATCAGGAGACCATTAAGCAAGCCGCACGGGCGTCAGGCCAGTCGGTTATCAGCACTGAGAAGCTCAGCTGTGCTTCTCTGTTAATGCCAGATGTCAGTCAGGGTTATCGGGATGTGCACCTCATCAGCCCAGGGCTCTGCTCTGTCAGCTGGGGCCTCTTCACATGGAAAGCACCAACATCAGGGATTTGGGGACTACTGGAGCAGCCAGCTCTTTAACCTTCACCCTACCTAGTGATCATTACTGTCCTCTGAGAAGCCTCTGATCATGTGGATTTATTCAGGGCCATTTTTCTGAAGAGTTCTTGTAAAGCATTGGAAATCCACTGACCTTTGGCCACTCTCCACATACACCTCTGTCCCTTCTATGAGTGTGTAAAGGGCTTCTCTGGACAATGTGTCCAGAGCACAGTTCACGTTCTGTTTGGATAGAAGGCTTTACCACATTTTTCACAGGAAGAAACAAAAGCTCAGGGAGTTCAACAGTACCAAACAGCTCATGAGCGAGCAGGCCAGGATGTCAACTGTGGGACTGCCCCTAGCTCCATAAGCCTTGCCCGCTCCAGTTATCTGCCTGAAGTCCCCTAGTTCCAGCCCATCTGTGCTTCTGCTCTTGCCTGTTGATGAGGATAATCTTTCACCAGGAAGTCTGCGTCTGGGCCTGGGCTTCCCTGTCCTGCCTGAGTCACCTTCATCTCTCCAAGATAAAATTGCTATCTGGACGGCATCAGTCCATTGTCTCACTCAAGAGTGTCTCTCATTCAACAAGGCTGTGCCGGTAGCCTGAAATTATGACATGACTGTTACATACATGAACTCACACAGCTGTGAGTACCTGTAAGACCTCCGCAAAATCAAGCCAGTTAAAAATTCCAACTTAGATCCTCAAACAGCCTTAAGAGTAAAAATAAATTGTTTTATCTGGGTCACTGTAGGGTCTTAAACACCAAAAAGGAAAGTATAACCAAAGATTAAAGGGGTCAATATAATTTTTAAGAGTCGACGTATATAGCTGAAGGCTACATAACAAGAAACAATGCCAGACAGGAGACACCTTCCTATTGGCCAAGGTGGCGCAAGAGACTTCCAGACAGTAACCCAGCATAGAACTGGGAAAATGAACAGCAGACCCCAATCTTATGTTAAAGAATATTGACAACTGATTGCTGCTAGATGAGGAACAGCTGATCTTCCTAAAACAAGGAACTCTAGATAGGCTGACTAGATTCAGCAGACAGACAAGCACTGGGGAATGGCTGGGGGTGCCAACAACACAGTGGACAGTAACAGGGATGACAGAGTGTACGGGCTCCAGTGTGTGGGAGGGGGGAGGCTATGGGAGGGTGCCATTTGGGAAGTGGGTATATAGATGAATAAGACTGTGTGGGATGTTCTGTATGATATACACACAGAAAAATCAACAATTTCTTTAAAAAGACGTATTTGAGGGGGAAGCATAAAAAGTTACATCATATTAAATAGTAGAGGTGATAAACATTACCAGTGAAATCTACCTTATGACTTTATATCCATACTCAGGTACTAAGGATCCGAGCATAACCAACTGTGACTAGTAATAATCAGATACATAGAGATTAAAGACACATGTGCAAACATCTAAGTGTTAATAGCATTAAATTGTAGGAAACCATATATTTTAAAACGAAATGGAGATCTTCTTTAAAGAGTAAAACTCATTCAGTTTTATATATTACAGGGTTTATAC